TCTCGCTCTTGCTCAGGCTGGTTTCGAACTCCTGAGCTCAAATAATCCACCCGCCTCGGCCTCCCAGAGAGCTAGGATTACAGGCGTGAGCCACCGCGCCCGGCCAATATTTCTTAAATATTACTTTCATCCTCTGATTTACCAAATGAATGTGTCGTCCTTAAAAAAAATTTCTAACATAAGCATCCATGTTTAACTTTTTAAATTCCACATGGGAGTGAGCCTAATATGGGATGTTGTTTTTTGAAGCCTACTTTTTGGGATTTTCAGAAAAATTTTAATTTGGGAAAACAATCTAGAATAGCAAAACTGCTTATCAAATACAACCCCTCATCCTAAATACCAACACGAACAAAAAACAAACTAACAAAATCCTAAGTACTGAACAAGTTAATCTATAAGCAAAATATCTAAGAAAAAGTAATACTCAAGTGTTCTAGGGACTATAAAAGTTAAGATAGTAACCATTAATGAAGTCAAAAAAAACACTTTTCAAACCCAATACTAAAATGCTATATTTAATATTGTTATCATTTAAAATATCTTATTATATGAAAAGACTTACATAAATTTACATAAGATCTTGTAAAATATCATTATGGAAATTCTAGACATTTAAATATTTTATATATAAACCATTCAGTGAGTGATAGTCAATGAAATATACATTTAAATGAAAACTCCCAAGTAAAGATTGCTCTACCATGGGTTTGAGAGGTCGTATTTGTCTTTGTGTTGGTAAAATGTTTTTCTTACTTGGCTATCTCCACAGGAAATCTTCCAGAAGGGTAGCTCAGCCATTTTTGAATTAGAGCTTCATTCACTGTCCAGATCTGCTTTGAAGGATCAGGATATCGAAAATCATCTGGTGGTCCACAGTTCTAAATTTTAAAATAAGGAGATAGTCAGAGGGGAGACATACTGTATCTAACTCAAAACCAAGAACCCCCCACTATGTATTTGTTTTTTTAAACAGAAGTAAATCTCTACTAAACACCTGAAACAAAAACTTACTTTGGTCAGAAATAGGTCAGAAAAAATTTGTAGACTTGAGGGTAAAAAAATTGAGGCAATTACTCTATAACATATAAAGATAATTAATATGGGTTTTAAATATTCCTCAAGGCCAGGCGTGGTGGCTTAACCCTGTAATCCCAGCACTCTGGGAGGCCGAGGTGAGAGGATCACATGAGGCCAGGAGTTCAAGAACAACCTGGGCAACACAGTGAGACCCCAAATTAGCCAGGTGTGGTGGTACATGCCTATAGTCCTAGCTACTCGGGAGGCTGACAAAGGAGGATTGCTTGAGCCTAAAAGTTTGAGGCTGCAGTGAGCTATGATCTCATCACTGCACTCTAGCCTGGGTAATAAAGCAAGATTCCATCTCTAAGAAAAAATAAAATAAAATAAATAAAAATTCCTCAAAATTATTGGAGCTAAGTACTTATTTACATAACTATATTATTACCTGGGGACTAGAGTAATGTGAAAAGCTCTGATCTCCCCCTGAGAAAATTCTTTTTACACAGAAATATTCTTCAGAATCTGTAATAAAAATAAAACGTAAAAAATTAAAATACAAGATTTATATCAGATCTGTTATCCTACTCTCAATCCCTTCCCCTTGATGGACTAATTCTTCACCTTATATTATTTGTGACCATGGCTGTTACAGAATTATCAATTCTTTTCAAGGAAAAAACCACATCTTAATTCCCTCGATTATTCACTACCACCAAGCACAATGTTTTATTTGTAAAAAAAAAAAAAAAAAAAAAAACTCAGTAAATATTTGTCAATATGAATACACATTATAAATAAACATTATCTAGCTTAGAACATATCAATAATAAGAGCTTCAGAGTTCAGAACATTCATATAGTAAAATTTTCCACACGTCCCAAGAATGCTAAGGCCAAAAACACCTTTGAGAACACATTAAAAGGGTAAATCTATATTAAATAAGGTGATTGCTCAGCTTAAAATCTTTTTTCTACATCATTATCACAAGTCTACATGAACTTCACTTACTCAAAAGATTTAGCAAGATGTTATTCATTTATTTCTAAAATATGATTTTGCCTTCCATAAATAATGCCCCAGAAGATCAATCAATGACTAATCTACAGTACACAAATGGGTTTCTGGAGGCCATGAGTAAGGTACGAAAAGTTAAGTTTCCTTCATTTCCTTTTAATTACTACCCCAAAAAGTTAGAGAAACCTAGTCACTTATCCTGTACAGCTTCCTGTTTCCTGTTTAGGTTTCTCTTAACATCTGCTTGGTCTTCTGTATGTTCTATAAATTGGTAGTTGACTCTAGAGAAGCTTCAATCATGGTTTGATTTCTTTCAGTAAAACTATTACACGGGGCAAGGGGGTGTTTTTCCATCAGGAAACATAATTCCTTTGAGAAAAATTTTGGTTGAGTTTCTTTTTATGACACTAGCAAGCACTGATGCATAATGCTTAGACAATTAATTCACTGTGGGTTGAAAATGGTGACATGCTAGCATTACTTCTTCATCTTATAGCTGGACCATTAGCTTCCCCCTATCTATTACACAGTTACCTTATACAAGAAAGGAAGGACTAATCCTTGATCTTTTGCATTTATTTACTATCTTCTAGCTTTTTAAATTTGCATTTCTTTTATATGAAAGAAGGTAATAATTTTTACATGTTTCTTAGAAACAGCAATTTCCTCTTTGGGAAATTTCTAATAATTTCCTTTATCTATTCTATCAGATACCTTTATATTTGTCTTACTTATCTGTTAGGTATCTTACTGTTTTTCTCGTCAATATGTATGAGCACTCTGGATATTCAGGATACTAACTTTAGGTTGTAATTGCTACAAATATTTTTTCCAAATAATTGTTTGCTTAATTTTAACTCACAGAACATTTACTATTCCATTTAGTCAAAAATATTTATCTAATTCTTTATGACAATTTTCATTGCATTTATGCTGAGAAAGGCTTTTCCTAACTTCAAAGCACAGAATTACTTTCTTAACTTTTTACTCTTTAATCCATCTATAATTTATTTTAGTATATTGTGAGGTTAGGATCTAAACTGACCTTTCTGTCTCCAATTTTGTGTGGTAAGTAATTCTTCCCCCTTCTCTACAGATTAGCCATGTCTGTTTTAATATTTATGAAAAGGCACTACCTCTTTCACCCACATCACACACTCGAAACAATTTTGGCACTCTTTCTCTATCCCAAAGTGTCCTAAAAATCCGTCTCAACACTTGCAGCAGCCATTACCAAGCAACTGAAGTTTGAACTTGAAACAAAACCTATATGTAATACCTTCATTTTTTTTCCCCTGAACTTTCCATTAGATTATAATGATCTGAATGTCTATGTATACACAGTTTATAGCTAATGATGTCACATCTAGGAGGGCTAATTCACTTTCTTATTCTTTACAAAATACATTGTCAAGAAAAATTGTGAAGACCTTGAAACAAATAACAACAACAAAAAAATACAGAGTCTTGATTAGGGCACCGCTTAGAATTATCTCCACCTTTTACTGTCTTTGAGCTATTTATAATTCTGTAAATTGTATTTCTACTTAGAAACAATATAGTGACAGAGATACAACTGTGTACGTGCTTTTGTTTCACAAGGAAAAAGAGTAGTTTGGATGGTCTCTGAATCCCTTTCCACTCTTAAGATTTATTCAGGACCCCAAAAGGCTTCTGTTTATGTGGGTTAAAATCATTAATACTTAACGTATTAGAACTTAAAATTAAAAAATTTTAAAAAATACTGATTTGATGAGCAATAATGAATGCATTACATGTTAACATAGAAAACATCTTAACATTAATATGAACATCATTTTCACCTTATGAATCCTCTGAGGAAAGTGTCAGTTTGTTCCAAAATTACCAAAAGAGCAAAACTATAGACTCAACTTGGTAAATTAATTTTATTTGCTTCAGTTTATACCCAACTCTGAACGAAACTATAAAATGTATTAAAAATCTTAGCAAAGTTCACTCAGTTTTGAAGGGCCTACAATATAAAATCCTGTTCTTTACTTTTCATGTAATCAGCTAGATAGCAAATATTTTGTCTTACTAGAATAATTTTTTATGCTTTATGTTGACTTTATTGTCTTTCACTATTCAAGAGGATAAAAAGAACAAAGTTTCTTCACTTACGAAAGAGGTAAAGTTCTGTTCATATTATCATCTATATTTATTTTTAAATATTTTGTTGTCTTTGACCATGACTTCAAGCCTCCACAACTGTGAGAAAACAAATTTCTGTGGTTACACCACTCAGTCTATGGTTATTTTGGTCTAGCAGACTAATATACTTCCTAAATTTGCATCCTAAATATAGGAAAAAATAAAACTTCCAAGGTATCTTTTATACCTGACAATATATTTGAGATTTCTCAGAGAAGCCTTAGTAAATCACAGAGATTTGTTCTTTCAACATATAAAAAAAAGAAAAAAGGCCGGGCATGGCGGCTCACGCCTGTAATCCTAGCACTCTGGGAGGCTGAGGTGGGACGATCACTTGAGGTCAGGAATTCGAGACCAGGCTGAGCAAGAGCAAGACCCCGTCTCTACTAAAAATAGAAAAAAAATTAGCCAGTCAACTAAAAATAGAAACAAAAAATTCGCGGGCCATGGTGGCTCACGCCTGTAGTCCCAGCTACTTGGAAGGCTGAGGCAGGAGGATCACTTGAGCCCAGGAGTTTGAGGTTGCTGTGAGCTATGCTGATGTCACGGCACTCATTCCAGCCTGGGCAACAAAGCAAGACTCTGTCTCAAAAAAAAAAAAAAAAAAGAAAGAAATAATTATGCTTGTTTGATGTCTTATTGTTATAAGGGTTGCAAGGGAAGAGTCATCAACTCAGAAAAGAGGCTTAGCCTTCCCTAGGTTAAATTTATATGAGAAAATGTAATTAATAAATATTCAAAAATTGTTCCCTTTAGGAGAAGCCCCGGAGATAAATCAATGTCTTGGCTTTCCATAATAGGTTTACATATTAAAGGAAATACTATTCAACTCTCGTGAAATAGTTCTGTTGAATTTTCCTATATTTATCTAAGTTATGGGGGTACTTTGACTGACATTAGACAATAACAATATAGTATGATCAGTCCTAATTTCAGTTATTATTTAAAATGTTTTCTGGCACAACCTTACTACTCTAATTCACATATTCTATGCCAGTGGTTCTCAAAAGAGGCTTCATAGGTACTTCAGAGTTACCTATGGAGTTTTACAAAAATGTGTATGTCTAGATTCAATTTCAGACTTACCAAATCTCTTGATATTCTTGGTGCATTCCTGGTATATTGGGTCTGAGGATTATTATGTTATTTATCTCAAGATTTTTTTGGTCTATAAAAGGTTATGTTCTTCTATATTTAATGTATCAGATTTAGGAGTTACCGAGTTCTTTGACAATAGGTTTAATTATCTTTAGAAACATTTTATTTAATTTTTGGAATAATCTGTTCTGTATACCACAGAAACAACCAAATTTCCCTGTCAGTAGTATTATTCTTAATATGAACCTTCATTAGATCATACCACTTAATAATTATCACTAATGTTAGCCATAGTCATTTTAAGATTCTGTTACCTATCAGCTTCTGTTTGATGCTTTCTTAAAGATTCTGCCACAAGCTACGGGCCAGAGTATGTGTTTTCAACAAAGAAGGAAAGTCTCAGAGCCCTATGAAATGGATTGCATATGGTACTTGAAACAACTTATAGATCAAAGATAGACACTTGGGTACAGGTTTCTCAGGAGGTCCCTCCTAAATAATTGTCAAAACATACAAGTGAGCTACACTAGGATTTCTTATACTCTTTCTCGTTAGTTAAGACGCAGTTTCATAAAACTGCTAACCCAAGATCCAGTAGAATAAAAATTTATTACATAAGAATGAATAAATTAATGAAGAAAAAATTTATTGTGGTTATCTGTCTGGAATAATGTTTAGTTCTGTTTTGATGTTCTGTTTTCTGGATATTTAAGGGGGTCATTTCTCCTTTCTAAAGTTATGTGGACATCTAAAGTTATCAAAACGATTTTGTAAACTCTGCTTTGGTAAACTAAAAGGAAAATTTAAAAATGATACCTGATTCTCAGTGATGCCCAGAATTCAATGAGAATTCAAATGAATTAATATAAACATATTTAGAGACAGGACATGTCTCAGGAGTTTTGCCGAGCTTTGCCCTGAAGGAATATGTGAACGTGTTGGTTTGCATTTCAAATGCTGTTGCACTCGGGAGGGCATCTCTCAAAGACAGTAGCGGCTGTTTGGATTTGCCTTGTAAAGCAAAGCGAATCTGTTAAAAACTACACAGGATGAGAGCTGATAAGAGTGCCTGCCCCAAATAGACAGCCACAGACAGCCACCCTGGCTATAAGCAGTTAAGGGGCAGTTCCTGCTTAAAACTCCAGACTACCTGTCTCCATTCACAGCAACCTGATAAAGAAAATATGGAGCCAATATGTCTCTGTTTAACCCCTCTGTTAAGTGATAAATCTACCTTAGAACTTAGAAGTTAATCTTTGAAAGATTTTGTAACCATTTGTTCACGTAGATAGAATTAGTTAAGGGATCTGTAGAAGCCTTTTGAAAATCTGTTAACCTAAGAGGAACTACCTGCTGTTATGCAAATCTGTTACCCCTGGCAACTAATCACTGTTACCTACAAGTGACCATGTAAGACTTCATGCGCCGCTTTTTGAGATTGACGGAGAGATCCAAGGCCCCCTGAGAGCTCGCTTTGCCTATAATCTTTATAAATCTATAAAACTATACCTTCGTCTTTGTGTATTCTTTTATTTCCAATTATTTTCCATTTTTCTATTATTTTCTTATCCCTTGCAACTCTACCAAAGGGACCCGGTTTTTTGCGGGGAGCATTGGCTACGATCCCTGCATGTTTAGTTCTGTTTTAATGTTCTGTTTTCTGGACATTTAAGGGGGTAATTTCTCCTTTCTAAAGTTATCTGGACATCTAAAGTTATCAAAATGATTTTGTAAACTCTGCTTTGGTAAACTAAAAGGAAAATTTAAAAATGATACCTGATTCTCAGTGATGCCCAGAATTCAATGAGAATTCAAACTCAGTTACTAAGTCTCCCTTCTTTTATTAGTAATATAGTTATTTGCATAGGTTCAATAAGAATCTGTTCCCTTTCTTACTAGAATATAATTGAACAAATCAATTATACAACCAAAGACTTATCTTTAGTGTCATATTTGAGAATGAATGATGGCTATTCAATCAGATATGGCAAGTCATTTTAAGGAATGAAGTTTACCTGTATTTATGGAAGTGATGCCTACAACACCCTCTGTGTAGCAAAGGATTAGCTCAGCAGGTCTGGGGTGTTGTTATAGGTTGAATTGAGTCTCCCCAAAATTTATATGTTGAAATCCTAATCCCCATTAGCTCAGAATGTGTCCTTATTTGGAAATAAGGTCATTGCAGATGTAATTAGCTAACTCGAGGTCATAATGGAGTAGGATGAGCCCCTAACCCAATATGACTGGTGTCCTTATAAAAGGAGGAAATTTGAATGAAGACATACACGCACACAGAGAATGCTATGTGACAATGAAGGAAGAAATCTACAAGCTAAGGAATGCCAAAGATTGACAATAAACCACAAGAAGCTAGGAGACATGTAACAGATTCTCCCTCATAGCCTTCAGAAGGAAGCAACTCTAATTTAGGACTTCTAGCCTGCAAAACTGTGAGCCGATAAATTTGTGTTGTTCAAGCCACCCAGTTTGTAGTAGTTTGTTACAGCAACCCTAGCAAACTAATACAGTTATTTAAACTTTACACATTCTAAAGAACGGTACCCCTCCTTGCTTGGCTCCAGGGAGATAATCTCTGAACCACTGGAATATCCCTCCTGTTAAGAAAGTCTTCACTTACTCATGGCCTTGGACATAACAGTTTATGATAACTATGGGATTTATGGTTGGGACCGTGGGTTTGACCTCTGGAGGGGCTGAAAATAGTCAATTAAATTCACATTTAACTAGTTTTTATCCTATACAGCTCTAGTACAGTGCAAAGTGATTATTAACAATCTTTATACTTTTTTATTGTGGTAAAATATATATAACATAAAACTTACCATTTTAACTATTTTATGTGTACAATTCAGTGGCACCAAGTATATCACGTTTTGCAACCATAATCACTAATCGTTTCTGGAACCATTTTATTCTCCAAAACAGAAACTTGTTAAATAATAATTTTCCATTCCCTTCTCACCCCTAGCCACTGGTAACCACCATTCTACTTTCTATCTCTATGAATCTGACTTCTAGATAGCTCATATAAGTGGAATCATATAATATTTGTCCTTCTGTGTCTTTTTTCACTCAGCATGTTCTCAAAGTTCATCCATACTGCAGCAGGTATGAGAATTTCATTCTTTTTTTATGGCTGAACAATATTCCACTATATGTGTATACCATATTTTTTCAGCTATTCACCTGTTGATGGGCACTTGGGTTGTTTCCACATTTTGGCTACTATGTATCAACAAATTTTCTGATGAATCTAAATTGGAACCAAAACAACCAATTTTAAACCTCCAATTTCTTTCCCATTTGCATTATGCAAATAATCTCAAGGTCTGTAGTTTTGGAGGTTAAAAAAAAAAATGCATCCTTAAGTGACAACTTTATAAATGGAAATACATTATTCCTTACAGTAGCCATACCACTTAAAATTACAAAATCTCTTTGCTACGTTATTAACAATATCTTCTGTGGAAGAAACTAATAAGATGAAACACCAACATGTCGCTAAGGACACAAGAAAAATAACACTGCTAAAATAAAATGCATGCTCTAAACCTAAGAGTAACTGAAAGAAAATAAGCCACAGTTTAAAAACAAAAGCACAAAATCAAATTAAAACAAGAAAAATGGTAATATCATATGCTGACCTTTGCTAAAAAGGAGCATAACTGAAAGTTTTTTAATACAAAAAAAATTACTCAAGGCTATTCACAGTAAAAAGTTATGGACCTTTGCACATGTTATCCTTTATAGCATGCTCAGGCTCATCATTGTGAATGGGTAAAATCTACAACACACACATACGCACACACACACGTGACTCAAGTTTCACATAACTTTACAGAAAGCCCAGGATTCTGGTTTCCATCAATAGATAAAATAAATGAGAAAACAATTCTGAGGAATACTTAGGGATGGTAAAATATAAAAAGAGAAAGCACATCTTGGTTTCAGCATGTCAACAAAATGAATTAGAAAACAGCATTCAAATATTTCAAACTCTTTAGTAAATTAATGTCAATGAAAAAAAAAAATAATAGAACATAAAAATAAATAAAGGCCAGACATGGTGGCTCACACTTATAATCCCAGCACTTTGGGAAGCTGAGGCAGGAGGATCTCTTGAGCCCAGGAGTTCAAGACCAGCCTGGGCAACACAGTGAGACCCCAGTCTCTACCAAAAAAAGAAGAAGAAAAATTAGTCAGGTGTGGTGGCATATGCCTGGAGTCCCAGCTGCTTGGGAGGCTGACACAGGAGGACCATTTGAGCCTAGGAGTTGGAGGTTAAAGTGAACTGTCATCATGCCACTACACTTCCAGCCTGGGAAGCAGAGCAAGACCTTGCCTCCAAAAAATTTAAAAAATAAATAAATTGAAATAAATACAAATTTGGCTAAAGCACCAAGGATATAAAAAGCAAATTTAAAAATTTTAATATTTTGAATAAGTAATTGATTCATATAGTTCAAATTTTTAAAAAACAGAAAATAATGTACAATTTAAAACTCTTATATATACCCAAAAGAACTGAAAGCAGTATCTCAGAGATACTTGGACACCCATGTTCACAGCAGCTATTCACAATTGCCAAAAGATGATGCAACCCAATTGTCTATTAACAAATGAATAAACAAAATGTGGTACAGGCATATGCTGGAGATACTCTGGGTTTGGTTACAGATCACTGCAATAAAGTGAATAAAGCAAGTCACATGAATTTTTGGTTTCTCTGTTCATAAAAAGTTACACTTACACTATACTGCAGTTTATTAAGTGTGCAAAAGCATTATATCTAAAAGAAAAGTATATAT